CTTCTTCCTAGGGCTGAGAGAAAGTGACTGGCTGAAAGTCACCCAACTGGCTTTGTGCCTAAGGCAGGACTAGACCTTACAGTCTTCCTGTTTCTAGTCTGGTGCCTTAACTACACCAAACCTGCTCCCTTTAAGCTATTGGAAGCTAGAATTATTACTGATTTGTCAGGCTTATAATATTTCAACATATTCAATTTGGATTGCTCTTTTTCAGAATGATGGAGTGACTCGGTTTTGAAATTGAAAAATGAGCTTATCTGGTCATTAATACAGTTTCTTGACTATAGGATTTCCTATTTTGAAATAGCAACAACATCTCCAAAAAGGGAAATGCAGTATACTATTTGCAGTATGTCACAAGACAGGAGAGCAGTCACATTGTCTACACGTTATGCCAGTCTTCTATTTTAATGTGATGTGGGAAGTATAATTCTTCTTCATGTATATCATTTCCTTCACAAATAGTACTCCCATGTCATTCCATCATGTGTATACTTAAAGAATCCTTGGGGAATGGGGAAATCTTGTTTGTGTAGATTTTAAAGGAGTTATCTTTAGGTGTGTAGATTACTTCATATGTATCACAATGCAGTTCCAAACCATCTTAACAACCTGCATGTATTGGGCAATGGCAAGATTATATTCTCTCTGGTTATAAAACTTTCAGAATAATTGACTTGCTATAGCAGTAATCCATGAGGTATTATTTGTGTGCCAATAGCTGCTATTTGTAGAAAAACTAGAGATTGTCCAGATACCCGAGATGCTTAAAATAAGAACAAAACTGTCAATGAAAACTAAATGTTATGAATGAAGTAAAAAATTATATTTTTAAAAAACTTAAAATGAAAAATTCATGTTTATAAAACTGATGTCTGTAGTTATATGTTTACAACACTTTAAATTTAGATTTCAGAAGATAACAATGTCCTGTTAAGAACTGGAAGCTTTCATGGCATTTACTTGTTACCCTAGTTAGTATTTGCAGTTGAGCTTAACTGTAGCAGCAGTTTGAATGTCAGGATTTATAATTCAGTACCCAATGTCTTGGTTTTAATTATTTCATGTTACTTAATGAAACAGTTTAAAATGGCATGTAAAATGGATTTCCAGCTTCACTGGCCTTTTAGTTAACCCAGAACCCACTGAAGTGCTATTTTTCAAATCGGTAAATTGTCTTGATATGTTGAATCCAGATGCTTATATTCTAAAATAGTGGAAATACATTCCAGTGAGAGCTTTAGCAGTGCAAATTCCACTGACGTGAAGTAGTGTAAAAACATTTACACTACTTACATAAACTTTCATAGAATACATGTTCGTTTTTAAGGTGCTACAAGACCTTTTGCTGTTTCTGCCACAAAAGTTGACCTCTCTTTTTGAATCTTACTGTAGTGATACCTGAAAATGCTGATTGCATTGTGCCCATTACTACTCAGTCTTTGCAAAAGCAGTGTAAAATACATATGGCTATAATTCTATTAGAACAGCTTGACAGTACCAGTCATTGTATCCTATTGCCATGGATTTTTTTTTCCCAAAATAGTAATGTATATGTGTCAAACTAATACCTGTACTTGATTGCCCTCAACAATCAAAAGGTTTGGTAATTCTGTTATTGGACAATTTGATTACTATATTCTACTGAATTTCTGAAGAACATTTTTTTGCAATTGGTAAAAAAATGTATTTATGTCAGTAGAACATGTGTAGTTTTTAAGGTGGAGCTGAACTAAAACAGGAAGTCCTGTGTTCAGCTAATTCTGTAAACAGATCTATTTTCATACATGTTATTTTCTCCAAAGCTTGACACTTCAGCAGAACAGTGTTTGGTGTTTTAAAAAGTCATAATGTTCATCCCTACTATTTAGTAAAGGTTATGATTAAAAAAACATTATATTGTGTACAATAAATATGTGATTGACAAAGGCTCTCTTTGCCAGATAGATTGGATGACCTTGATCAGAAGAATTGAGGAAATACTATTAGTTCTGAATGGTAGTGAAAGTGATCATTGGAAAGTTAATTATAGTTATGTGAGTTTGAATAAGTTTTCTTTGGAGGCTTGTGTTGCAAACACTTTATAGGCTGAGCATAAAACTAAACAATTTTCACATTAAAATTTACAGCATAAATACATGTATATGTTCATGACCAGATGCATGTTTACATGTATTTTATGCACAAATGACTTTTTGCATTGTAAAAGGAGCCAGTATTGTAGTGCTGGATTTTTGCAGAAAAGTTGGTGTTAACTCTTACTTCAGAGTTAATACTCATATGATTGTAGTGTAATAATATGATCTTAAGTATTTTTATTAAAATAAATTCCTTTGGGTTCAAGGATACCTATTTCCTAATATATATGCTTTTTAGTTTAGATTGGAGTGGCTGAGTTTATTTGTGCAGGGTATTTATATTTTTGTGCACTATTTTGTATAAAGAGTGTCAGAACTGCAGCCATGCAGTGAAAAAGTTTACGCTCTAATATGCCAAATGATACAGATTTCATGCCCCACCCACACCCAGGGGGGCATGGTTGGCATAAAGTAGAACTGAACTTGGCAGCTATAGTACCTGAATAATAACAAAATATTTTTGTTTCTTTGAGTCTTTAGAAATGTGCTTTTGTACAAAGTTATTCATTTCTAATTGACTTGCTGTGACAGTTGTTGAACCCAAATTTATGGCTCTGACAATTGTCATAATTGAAGAAGGTCTGACATTGTTGAACCCAGATTTATGGCTCTACTTACTAGTTCTATCAATGTGTTGTTGCAGGAAAATATTAAAGTGAAATACACTTCATATGTACAAACTTTATGATTTCAGGAAGCT